CCCTCATTTCCCCTTCCAGGGCCTGTCAAGGGCCTACCCACATTCATATAAACATCACACGCACGCATGCACAGACACTATTTTATAACAACACTGCAGTTCTCCTGACCCCTCCACTCTCACCACCCCCTTAGCTCCATCCCCTGCAGGTCCTGATACTAGGCACACATGTTTAATCCAAATCCCGTTTCCATTGGGTTTGTCAATGTCCTTGAGGCTCTTATGTGTTTTGAAAAGTCTCACCCACAGCAAGGAGACAAGGGTGCTCCATTTTCCCTGTGCACTGTCTTGGTTTGTACCCTCCATGCTCCTGTCTGGTATGGGAAGCAAGTTATTCAGTCTAATTCCTATCTTTTGACCCTGATTTCCTTGCTGCTCCCCAATCTAATTTCTCACCAGGAGCCCCTCATTCTCTCTTCCTTCTGTCCATGTCTTCTGTGTGTGTGTGGGGGGGGGTATATGTACGTATTCACGTACATGTGTTCTTGTTGTACCTCATCCACTGGACCCCAAAAAGACCATTGAGGACCCAACACACCAAAATGCAAAAGCAAAGGTTTATGGTTTATTTGGGCTTAAGCTCGGGCTCTCAGACCTCACCAACTCAATGGATCCGTGCTGAGAGCCCAGAGTAAGGGAGAGTGGAGCCTTTTATAGGTTTTAGACAAAGAGAGGAGGGGGATACTGAAGATACATTTTGGTTGTTTCAAGGAGCCCGCGCGCGCCAACATAATTTTAAACTGATTGGATGTATAAGATGTAGCCCTGGAAGTTTCTTATTGGTAGGTGCTATTCTCAGGGCTGTGGAATGTGCTGTTACCTGTGGGGCCAGGGGTCTCCATTTTTACCTTATAGGGCAGTTTTTATGCTCGGACTTGGTTAATATATAGTTTCCTGGAAGGAGGGGTATAGCAGGCAGGAGTCAGGGTTGACAGGGTATGTCTAGGCATGTCTAAAGCAGCAGCCAAGCATTTTACAGAAGCTAAAAGAGCAATTAGTGGGGGTCTGAAGGGATTGGGGGGTAGCGGGTAAATGAAGAGGGTCTCAGGGTTCTACATGATGGGACCCTGACCCCAGCCTTCCCTTCCCCACTTCAACCCTGACCAGCAGGAAGTAGCCAGACGAGAAACACCACCCCCTATCCTATAACACAAAAGGCTGGTCTGCAGATGACCCCCAGTGCAATAAAGCCTCACAAGAGAGGCCCTGAGGGCCCCCTTGCAAAACAGGAACTGGCCAGGCAGCTGCATTTAGAGCTGCATCAGCACAAAGCTGTTCCCTAGAAAATTTTAGAAGATAAACAGGCCACTGCATCCCAGACCTACTGCTGTAAGAGCTGTCTCAGTACAACTGCTTCCCCTGAAACTGTAATGGTTATTTTTACCACCTTCCAACTTCCCTCTAAGAACTTCCCCAGTAGTCAGAAGGTTGCTTTCTCTCCCCAGCTGAGCTGCCAGCCACCAGCAATCCTAAGAAATAAACTTTGCTTTGTTAGAGTCCTCCTGTATTTTCTGGGGCTATTCCCTGCCGGGCTTTTATCTAACAGGTTTAAGATGTTTGTACCTCCCCAGGGAAGGAATTTTCACATTATGCAGGTACTGAGGTTGTGGGCAACTGGCCTGCTCCAAAGCTTATGTTCCTAATATTCATTCTTATGTAAGATTCAGTCTGGACAAAGAAAGACTAGAGCATTGCCAAAGACTTGTTTCTGCTTCACAATGTGTGTACTTGGAGCCTAAGAGCTTAGAATAGTAGTTTTCCAAAGTGTGATCTGGAGAAAGAAACTTGCATGAATTTGATGGGATCTTCTTCCAGCTACACATCTGTGAGGCCAGATTTTCTTTATACGTGTCAATCAAAACCGTGATAGCTCAGAAACAGAAGTGGATGTGAGAATATAGCTGTCTTTTGTTAAGCCAAACATTACAGAAATTTTAAAAAATTTAATAACACTCTCACTACCTATTTCTTAGTTTAGGTAAACATAGCTTTTTGTAAAAAAAAAAAAAATTGAGGCAAGGGAAACTACAGCTCAAGTGGTTGTTGTATGATATGATTCCTGGGCAGACAAGAACAAACATCTACTCACCCCAGAGAGGGAGCCAAGGACAAACCAAAGAAACGTTAGCACCTAAGTCCCAACTTGATGCCCCAATGAGTTTACTGGGGTTCTGGACTTCCAGGAGCAGAAATGACTGAGACAGCTGCATCACGAAAGCCCACCCCAGTATGGGCCATAAATCATCTATGCTAGAAACCTGGAGTGCACTGTATAACTTCAAGGCAGCTCAACAGGTTGGAGTGTGTTTTATACAGACAGCTCAGTTGATTTATGCCCCTGACAAGCTGCTTGCCCAGTCGGAGAGTGGCTCTCAGCAATCCTTGCTGCCTACATAAGCTTGGAGAGGAAGCAACCTAGAGCATCTGGTCAGTTTCCAGGACTTCCTCAACTACTGAGTTGTTTACTTCCTGAGCTTAAAGAGCCTCCCTGCAGAATGGAATGTTTCACTTCCTTTTAGAACTTCTTGTGTCTTAAAGATCTTCCCCCAATATGGAAGGTTTTATCTTGTAGGAAATTGTTTACACAAAAGAAGGCATGCTTTGTATGAGCAAGGCCCTGGATTCAATCCTGAGCAAGAGATGAAATAATTTATATAGGGCATGGAGCTGTGTTTGGCATTCTGTTCTGTTTGGAGGCACGATCTTCTTTGTAGCCCTGAGTGACCTGAGATTTGCTATGGAGACCAGGTAGGCCTTGAGCTTTTAACAATTCTCTTGCTTTTGTCTCTGAAATATTGGGATTTCTTGTTACCAAGAGATGATGTTTAGTGCAGAGTGACAGGGAACTGAGATACTCCTGAAATCCTGTGCAGCACACTGCTGTAGGCAGACAAGACACAGGAATCACCTCAAAGCCCTTTCCTCTGCATACCTAGGGACTTAAAGATTTCTTAAGGCTGTTTGTGTGGCGAACACCTGTCTCAGTACTTGGGAGGTAGAAGGAAAAGGATCAGGAGTGCAAGGTCATCCTTGGCTACAATAGCAAGTTGGAGGCCAGTCTAAGCGAGGCCATGGTTTTTCTTCAGCCATGCTGGTACCTGCAGGGCAGGTGGAGACAGGAGCATTCCAAGTTTCAGGCCAACCTGGGCTCCATGTATAAATCTTATCTCAAAAAGGCAAAAAATAAGTGGATACATTGAAAAAAATCTGTCTTGGGACTTTATATTTTATTATTGGTCTTTTTGAGACAGGGTCTCCCTGTAGCCCCAGTTGGTCTGAACTCAACTGTGTAGACCAGGCTAGCCTGAACTCACAGAGTTCCTCCTGCTTCTGCCTCCCAAATGCTGGCATTAAAGGCAGGCACCACCATGCCTGGCCTGGGACTTTTTTTTCAAATTTTATTCATTATTTTTATTTTATGTGTATGTGTGTATTGCCTGCATGTAGGTAAGTGCACCTGTGTCATGCAATGCCCTCGGAAGACAGAAGAGGCTGTCAGATCGCTTGGAACTATAGTTACTGGACAGTTGTTAGCTGCCATGTGGGTGCTGGGATTCAAACCTGGGTCTTCTGCAAGAACACCCAGCGTTCTTAACTGCTGAGCCATCTCTTCAGTCTTGGCTTTAGACTTTTTTTTTTTAAGAATTTATTTTTAATTTATTTTTTTATTTTATTTGTATGAGTGTATTGGCTTGCATGTATGTGAGTGCACCCATGTCATGCATGCTGTGGAGGTCTGAAGAGGGCTTCAGAGTCCCCTGGAACTAGAGTTAAGGATGGTTCATAGCTGCCATATCGGTGCTGGGAATCGAACCCGGGTTCTCTGCAAGAGCAGTCAGTGTTCTTAACTGCTGAGCCAACTCTCCAGCCCCCGGGACTTTTTATTTTATATGTATTTAGCTGTGTTTCCTGCATGTATGTATGTGTACCTGGGGCCCACAGAGTCTAGAAGTGAGCACTGGATTCCTTGGAACTGGAGTTACATGTAGTTATAAGCCACTGTGCTTTATGTGCTGGGAACTAAACAGTCTTCTACAAAAACTTCAGGTACTCTTAACTGCTGAGCCATTCCTTGAGCCCTGACTTTTTATTTTTTGAGTCAAACTCTCATGTATCCTAGCCTGGCTTCAGAAAGATCACCTTGAACTTCTGACCCTCCTGTCTCCACCTCCAGAGTTATTAGGATTACAGGCATGCATCATTGTCTTATTTCGAAGTCCTGGGATGGGAAAAGGGATGGAAACTAGGGTTTTATGCATGCTATGCAAGGCACTTTATTTTTGAGACAGGGTTTCTCATGGCCTGGGATGAATTATATCCTCGGACTTCTACCTCCGGAATTCCAGTATTACAGGTGTGCACCACCACATACTGCTTTTGGGAGGTTCTCCATCCTACTCCTGTGCTTCCTACAGAACCTGCCTAGGAGACAGTCCATCTTCATCGTTAAGTTGATTAGAGTTCAGGCTAAGAACACCACATCAGCAATCCCGAAGGTACTGAGCCTTGGGGCCCCGTGCGCTTTCCGAGGAAGGGACCTGCAGAGGCAAGCCGCACTTTACTGCCACGGTCTCGGGACAGCGTGGTCCAGGCCCAGAGACTGCAGGCTACCACACCAGCCAGTCCTTTCTCATCCCGAAGCCACTCCGCAGCAGAGTCAAGTTACTCCCACACTCTGCACAGCTGCCAACATCGGGCCCCACCTAGGCGAGTCCCCGCCCGCCCAGGTCCCAGGTAAATGGAGTTCGGCCAATCCCGAAGGCTCTAGGGCAAAGAAGGCGGGCGGTGGGGGAAAAGTTTAGGACAGGACTGTCCACCAATCCTGCGCCTCGGTGTCTGAGCAATGGCAGCGACTGCCCATTTGGAGAGCGGGTCACCGAGGGGCGGGGCAATATGCGGTGGACCAATCCACGACCAGAGAGGGCGGGCTTGAGCCAATCAAGACAGAGGAGGTGGGAAGGGGCGGAGCTCGTCTGGTGGCTGCTAGGTCGTGGGTGAGGGACCAGCTTTCTCTGTTAGCTCCGACGCGGGGAGTCCTTGGCCCCCGGAATGCGAGAGGGAGAGGCGCAGGGGGCTCCGGGAGCGGGGCGTGGAGCCATCGCCCGGGAAAGCTGGGGCGCCAGAGTCCTAGTTGGAGGCTCCACTGGAAACCACCGGCAGGGCATTGAGGAAGCGAAGGCTGGTCAGGGGGCGGGACTTCCGGGGGCAGGGCTTTTTCGAACAGGGGCGGGGACGATTCCTACGGTTGGGTCTGGGAGGGCGGAGCCAACAGGTCTTTGGGTGGGACCTAGGAGAAAAAAGAGCAGTTAACTGAAACCAGGTCTTGGGGTGGGGCCTGGGTTGCCAAAGGCCTTAGGATGACAAACCCTGGTTAAGGGCTGACTTGAGGTTGTGAGGAACTTACTTGTCCTAATCCACTGTTTTTCTTCCCAGGGACCTTTCTTGGGCACCCTTCCCTTCTTGGGGTGCTATGGAGTTCCCAGAACACAGTCAGCAGCTGCTGCAGAGCCTCCGGGAGCAGCGGTCCCAGGGTTTCCTTTGTGACTGCACTGTGATGGTTGGCAGTACCCAGTTCTTGGCCCATCGGGCTGTGCTGGCCTCCTGCAGCCCCTTCTTCCAGCTTTTTTACAAGGAGCGGGAATTGGACAAAAGGGATCTGGTGTGTATTCACAATGAAATCGTCACAGCCCCAGCCTTTGGGTTGCTTCTGGACTTTATGTATGCTGGCCAGCTGGCACTTAGGGGTGATACTCCTCTAGAGGATGTGCTAGCAGCTGCCAGCTACTTGCACATGAACGACATTGTCAAGGTGTGTAAGCAACGGTTGCAAGCCCGGGCTCTGGCAGAGGCGGACAGCACCAAGAAGGAGGAGGAAATTAACTCCCCTAGTTTGGAGTTTTTGTCAGGCACTTCTCGTGGCCCTCAGCCTTCGTTGGCCTCTGCTGAGCCGTCAGTCCGCTGGAGCAAAGAGGAGTGGAAGGGCCCAGCTACTCCCTTACCTATTGCCCGTCCCGCAGATGAGCCTCCAGTGCCTGGTGGGGCTGACACAACACAACCCAGCATGGAGATTGACTCACCACATCTACGGGCACCTCCCCCACCAGTGGCTGAAGTCTCTGTCTCTCTGGCCAGTCCCAGTAGCTCCACAGAGACCATTCCTGTAAACTACTTCTCTTCTGGCCTCCCAACAGTTTCGGTGGAGCCCTTGACCCCTCTTGATGTGGTTCCTGAGAGTCTGAGGGTGGTGGAACCAAGAGATACTGGAGGACCCTTGCAAGGCTTCTATCCACCAGCTCCAGTCCCAGCCCCAGCCCCTGCCCCAGCTCCAGCCCCATCCCAAGCTCCGCCCCCAGTTGAAGCTGAGCTGGTCCAGGTGAAAGTAGAAGCTATTGTTATCTCTGATGAGGAGACTGATGTGTCTGAGGAGCAGTCTCAAGGACCTGAAGGACTCTTCCCACCCAGAGGAGCAATGTATGGGGGGCAGCCCTCACAGCCAGAGGCTTTTGAGGAGCCGGGGCCAACAGGACTAGAGGAGGTGGGACCAAGTGATCATTTCTTGCCTCCAGAACCTCATCTACCCTATCATCTGCTGCCAGGTCCAGGGCAGTATCATCGAGGACTGGTGACTTCACCCCTGCCTGCACCACCAGCTCTGCATGAGCCCCTTTACCCACCATCTGAGTATGAAGCTGCCCCAGGAAGCTTTGGCGGTTTTACCGAGGATGTTCCCACCTGTAAGACATGTGGAAAGACCTTTTCATGCTCTTACACCCTACGGCGACATGCCACAGTGCACACTCGTGAGCGACCCTATGAGTGCCGCTACTGCCTGCGTAGCTACACGCAGTCAGGGGACTTGTACCGCCACATCCGCAAGGCTCACAATGAGGACCTGGCCAAACGCAGCAAACCAGATCCGGAGGCTAGTTCCGTTCTAGGGGTGCAGCCCCTCTCTGGCTCCCAGACAGAGAGACAAGGCAGTGGTGGTGGAGGACCACCCAAAGATTTTATACTTGGTCCCAAAAATTAGCACCTGGGGGTGCATGAGCAGATGCCAGGCCTGCTCTTGCCACCCTCAGATGGTCACACAGAAGGTTGGAGGCATCTCGTCAGCACCAGGTGACAGAATGAAGGTTCTTCTCAGACCAAAAGGACGTGGCCTTTGTTCTGTCCAGCCAGACAGCAGGACTTGACAGGGCAGAGCAGGTCAGCCAGCATTCTCCCAGGGCACTGGGAATTGTCCTGAGGTGTAACTGTTTATTTCATTATGGAATATAAAATTACAGTGAAATTATTTCTTTGAGCTGTGGTTGGCTGATTTCTTCCTCAAATCTTCATGCCATCATATCTGTCATCTAGGTCCTGTATCTGACACCTGTTCTTGTTAAGCATGGGGGTCTGATGCTCAGGAGGAAATGTGAGCGAGGCAGTGGGCAATTAGACTTGACTTAGGAAAAGTATATGAATTGGGCAATCTTATGGCTTGTAATCCAACTTTTTTGTGTGCTGGGCTGTGTTGGGTGCCTCATACACTCACTTAACCCTCAGCAACATTGTGGGGGTGTTAGCCCCCACCATCTCCTTTCACAGTCAAGGAAACTTGAGACTTAAGATTCAGGTTCATTTGTTCAAGGACACAGAGCTGGTTAAGGAGAGAGCCAGGATTTGAACCTGGCTTGTGACTCCAGACACTATGTATCCTGTACTGGTTTAAAACATTGTTCAAGGTAGGTTACTCAACTAGTTTTCTTATACTTTTGATTGTATGGTTTTGTCCCTTTGTCACCTCTACTTTGAACCTGGAAAGACCTCTGGTTGTTTTTACAACAAGCTGTATTGATAGCTTGAAATTTTTGCCTATATGCTGTGAATGTGAATTGAGGTCTCTGAAGATGAGAAACAGATGGGAGAAAATAGTAAGGCCTGTGGCGGTGACTTGTGGGGGGAGGTTGATAGCCTGTGGTGGTATTGAAATGGCAGCTGCTTGGGAAAGGAAAGAAGGAAATCCCAGGATATTTTTTTTATTTTATTTTATTTTTTTTTGGTCTTTTTGAGACAGGGTCTCCCTGTAGCCCCAGCTGTCCTGGAACTCATTATGTAGACCAGGCTGGCCTTGAACTCACAAAGATCCACCTGCCTCTGCCTCCCGAGTGCTGGGATTAAAGGTGTGCGCCACCACGCCCGGCTAATATTTTATTTTTATTTTATGTGTATACATGTATTGCCTGCGTGTATGTGAGTGCACCCATGTCGTGCAATGCCATGGAGGTCAGAAGAAGGCTTCGGATTCACCTGGAACTGGAGTTAAGTACGGTTTGTAACTGCCATATGGGTGCTGGGAATCGAACCTGGGTCCTCTGCAAGAGCAGTCAATGTTCTTAACTGCTGAGCCATCTCTCTAGCCCCCTTATGAGATCTTTTTAAAAAAATATTACTTTTAGCTGGGCATGGTGGTGCACACCTGTCATCCCAGCACTCAGGAGGCAGAGGCAGGTGCATCTCTGTGAGTTCAAGGCCAGCCTGGTCTACATAGTGAGTTCCAGGACAGCTGGGGCTACAGGGAGACCCTGTCTCAAAAAGACCAAAAAAAAAAAAAAATTTTTTTTTATGTGTATGAGTGTATTGCCTGCATATAGGTAGGTGTACCCATGTCATGCAGTGCCTCTGGAGGTTAGAAGAGGCATTGGATCCCTGGAACTGGAGTTACAAATGGTTGTTAGCTGCCACGTGGGTGCTGGGAATCAAACCTGGGTTCTCTATAGAACACTCAGTGTCTTAACCACTGAGTCATCTCTCCAGCCCCCCATGAGAAGATCTTAAAGTTATCTAATCTCACTTTTAATTCCAAAAATGTGGGGCAGGGGACTGAGCTCAGTGGTAAAGTGCTTGCTTATAACATAGCATGCCTAAGGTCCTGGGTTTGGGCCCCAGCACCCGCAAAAGACAAAGTGTGATGAAAACAGCCTTCAAAGGCTTAAACTAGCCACCTAAGTTTCTACAGGTGGTTAGTGGCAATGGAGACAGTAAAGAAATGGGAGTTTGGGGTGTTGAGGTGGGATGAGAGTGCTGCTCCATGTGAGTGAGGCATCTTCCCAGGCTGTGAGGGGTGGAGCTATAGCATGGACTCATTGGGTGCCCTACAGACCTCTGCTCTTGGCACACAAGGACCTAAGTGCAAATAAAAAGCAGGAAGGAAAACAGGAAAAGGGCAAAATACAAGTAAATTTTCTGAATTTCTGCTCCCACTTTTTGAGTCCCTGTGTCATATTCAGAACCGTGAACTCTTCCTCCCAAGCTACTGGTTTTGAGATATAAGGAAAATGAATGGGGAAGATTTGGCCAAACAAAGCTCCTTCAACAAGTCATATGGGAAGCAAGAGTTGATGCTTAACATTTCTACTGCTGAATGAATTGTAAAGCCAAGTACAGTGGCAACTACCTGTAGTCCTAGCGACTTGGGAGTCTGAGGCAGCTAATCTGGGCCAAAACAGACCCTGTGTTCTCTCCAAAGAAAGAATGAATTATATACTTGCCATACTCCTTTTCCTTGTTTCCCTTTTTTTTCTTTTTTGAGACACGGTCTCATGTAGCCTAGGCTGGCCTTAAACTTGCCAAGTCAATGAGGATGGTTGGCCTTGGCCTCCTTCCTGATCCACTTGCCTCAACTTCCCCAATTCTGGTATTATAGGTGTATACCCCTGTTTCCAGCTCCTTGGTCTTTTCAGACAGGGTCTTGCTATCTAGTCCAGGCTAGCTTGACTCTCTAGATCTTGCTGCATTCTGCCTTAGCCTTACCAGAACTGGGATTATAGAGTGGGCCACTAGGCCCAGCTCACATTCCTTATATTGGACTATCTTTCTAATATTTTATTTATTATTATTATTTTGGTCTTTTTGAGACAGGGTCTCCCTGTAGCCCCAGCTGTCCTGGAACTCACTATGTACACCAGGCTGGCCTTGAACTCAGAGATACACTTGCCTCTGCCTCCCAAGTGCTGGGATTAAAGGTGTGTGCTACCATGCCCGGCTATAAATTGGTGTTTTAACCAACCGATGCTTAGTAAGGTCTAATCCATTAAGAAAGGGCTAAAGGATATTAATTACTGAAGTAAGGTTCTATCACATCAACTGGCTAGTAGAGACAAACAATCTGAGTAATTCAGTCCTCAGCCCCCATAATAATGCATTTCAGAAGCTCAAACAGAAGAGGGCTTCGGATTCCCCTGGAACTGGAGTTGAGGATGGTTCGTAGCCACCATGTGGGTGCTAGGAATTGAACCTGGGTCCTGTGCAAGAGCAATCAGTGCTCTTAACTGTTGAGGCATCTCTCCAGACCATGGAGTAACTATCTTTCAAATGGCTTCTAATTTTGTTAAAATATTTTATGTTTATTTTATGTGTGTGAGTATATTGCCTGTATGTAAGTGCAACTGTGTCATGCAATGCCTGAGGACGTCAGAAGAGGGCATCAAATCCCTTGGAACTAGAGTTCCAGACTGTTGTTACCCAACATGTGGGTGCTGGGAACCAAACCCAGGTCCTCTGCAAGAGTTGTCGGTGCTCTTAACTGCTGAGCCATCTCTCCAGACCCCAGCTTCTAATTTTATTTATGCAATGTTTTACTGCCTTAAATTCTTTCATGAAAGAGGGAAAGCTATAAATAATACAGTAAGAATTATTCTAGGTGAGTAGAACACGTTTCCCAGTCGTACCTACAGTAAATATCATAATACCTGTAAAAATCAATTGTCAAGTCAGGCATGGTGGCAATACACCTTTAATCCCAGCACTCAGGAGGCAGAGGCAGGTGGATCGCTAAATACCAGTCCAGCCTGATATACAAAGTGAGGTCCAGGCCAGTCAGGGCTACATAGTGACACCCTGTCTCAAATAAAAGAATAAATTGGCTTCAAAATGATAGATTTTATGGTCTGTGATTCTCACGTAAAAGAACTTGGGGGAAGCCCGGTGTCATGGCGCACACCTTTAGTCCCAGCATTTGGGACGCAAAGGTGGGCGGATCTCTGTGAGTTCAAGGCCAGCCTGGTCTACCTAGCAAGTTCCAGGCCAGCTGGGGCTACAGGGAGACCCTGTCTCAAGAAATAAAGAAGTTAGGGAAGGGGGCAGAGTGTTAGACAGAAATGGGAAAAAATGTGTTGGCTTAAAACATCAATTTCTAAAAAGGCATAATGTCTTTACAAGTATATGAACTAGATAACAATTTCTCTAGATAATCTGGAGAACACAGTAACCATTGGGCTAGCTGAGGTTACAACCATGTGCAATACTCAACTGAAGAGGCCATGGGCCAGGGGTATAACTCAGTGGGAGCATACTTGCCTAGCATGCATGAAGCCCTGTATTCTATCCCTAGCTCAGAAGAAAAAATATATCTTATATATTTGAAATCAGGTGAGTGGCACATACTTGTAGTTCCAGTCACTTGGGAGTCTCAAGCAGAAGGATCACTTGAGCCCAGCGGACAGAGGTCAGCCTGGACAACTTAGGGAGAACCTTTGTATAAAGAAAAGACAGCTAGAGGCTGGAGAAATGGCTCAGCAGTTAAGACCACTGGCTGCTCTTGCAGAGGACCAAGGTTTGGTTCCCAGCAACCAAATAGTGGCTAACAACTGTCCAGAACTCCAGCTCTAGGGGATTTGACACCCTCTTCTGACCTCCATGGGCAGTACATGACATGGGTGCACTTATACACATGCAGGCCAAACACTCGTACACAAAATAAATTAAAAAGTAAAAAAAAATAGCCAAGTGTGGTAGTGCACATCTTTAATCCCAGCACTTGGGAGGCAGAGGCAGGAGGATCTCTGTGAGTTCAAGGCCAGCCTGGTCTACCTAGTGAGTTCCAGGACAGCTGGGGCTACAGGGAGACCCTGTCTCAAAAAGACCTCCAAAAAAAGATAGTTGGGTCTGATGGGTTTACACCTATAATCTAGCAGTTGGGGGACTGACACCAGAGAAGTGTCATGAGTTCAAGACCAGCTTGGACTACAGAGTGATACCCTGTTTTTTTTTAAAGATAAATTTAAAATATATTGAAGTAATTATTTAGGGGCTGATGCTGAGGATCAAACCCAGAGACTTGCACAAGCAATGCAAGTGCTCACCACAGAGCTACACCCTTAGCCCTGGCATATTGATGAAATATTAGTAGAGGTAACATGTAAGCAGAGATTTAGGCAAAACTGTGAAGGTGGTAGGTCTCAGTTTAGGAATTACTATCCCTTATGTACCAAGGTGTGATCCTCCACATACACCAGGAAATCTTTCTCTTCATTCACAATCTTCAAATCTGGTATGGAAATGATTAAAACCTGGCAAAGCAAGCAACCGCTCCCTCCATGAATTCTGAGTACAGAGATTTCTAGATCCTCCCTGGCTGACTCCTTCAAGATGCAGGCTTGTCAGAGTCCTCAAGACCTGGGTGGGAATGCCTTCCTTTGCCTACTTCAGTAACGTCTCCATTAGGAGCTGGGCTTCAAAAGGAAACAGAAATATAAGCCTGACCACTGTACTACCTCCCAAGAGGGCTAAGAGGGTTAGTCAAGTAAATGTCTAAGATATATTTGTAAATATCAGTTTTATTTTTTCCTCATTGATGCAGAAGACACTTACTTTAAGAACTTTTTGTAATGAAACAGAACACCAGAAAGTAAAACCAACTCCAAGGGAAACATGCGACATGACAAAAACTTTAAATTTTGAAAAGTACAGTAAGGCAGACTATTCAAGGGCAGAGTGACAACCAGATTTTGCAGTAGGACAGAGATTGGACTTAAAGTGATTCCAACGAAACTGACAGGGATTTAGAGTCAAGGTCAGTGAGTGGAAGATTACTAAGAAACATCAAGGATACAAGATTTCTCGCTAACATGACATTATAGGATTCACCATGACAAAATTTTGTCAAACCAGTTTGACAATTTTGTTTACCTATTTATTTGGACTTTTTTTTTTTTTTTTTTTTTTTTTTTGGTCTTTTTGAGACAGGGTCTCCCTGTAGCCCCAGCTGTCCTGGAACTCACTATGTAGACCAGGCTGGCCTTGAACTAACAGAGATCCTCCTGCCTCTGCCTCCCAAGTGCTGGTACTACAGGCGTGCGACACCATGCCCAGCTCTTAATTTGGACTTTTTGAGCTATGATTTTACTAGGTAGCCCTGGGTAATGGAACTCAATATGTAACCCAGACTGGTCCTTATTTATTTTTTAAGATAGGGTCTCCCTGTAGCCTCAGCTGCCAAGGCCATGCTCAGCTCTGGACTGCTGTTGAACTCATAGCAATCCTCCTGCCTAAGCTCCCTGAGTGCTAAAATACAGGCATGTCCCACTACCTGGCTAAGTTTAGCAACCGAAGAGGCTTGGAGAAGAATGGAATATTCACTTTTGTTAGTTCTGTCTTTCGAATTTGTTGTTGTTTGTTTTGAGACAGGATCTCCTTGTTTATTTTTTTTATTATTTTTTTTTTTTTAGCCCCAGCTGGCCTGCAAGTTGCTATGTACACCTGGCTGGCAGCCTTGAACTCACAGAAATCCACCTGCCTCTGCCTCCCAAGTGTTGAGACTAAAGGTGTGCGCCACCAAGCCTGGCAACAGGGTCTCCTTGTAGCCCAGGCTGGCCTGGAATTATATGTATTCTCTAGTCTGGACTATACCTCAAAATCTGCCTGCCTCTACCTCCAGAGTACTGGAATTAAAGGCATACCCACCACACACTATAACCTTGAAATTTTTGAGACTATTTGGTAGAAAACTTTTTGTTGTACCCTCATGAGTATGTTATTTAAATTATAGGAGAGAGGGCCTGGAGAGATGGCTCAGTGGTTAAGAGCACTGACTGCTCTTGCAGAGGACCCGGGTTTGATTCCCAGCACCCACACGGCAGCTACTAAACATCCTTAACTCCAGTTCCAGGGGAAGCGGAGCCCTCTTCTGACCTACGAAGCACTGCATTACATGGGTGCGCTCACATACACGCAGGCAGTACACTCATACACATAAAATAAAAATGATAAATAAAATATTTTTTAAAATGATAGGAGAGAACAAAGAAATCAACTCATTGAGAGAATATGGGTGTCACAAATAAACTAGGTTGGAGGCTGGAGAGATGGCTCTGCGGTTAAGAGCACTGGCTGCTCTTACAGAGGACCCAGGTTCGATTCCCAGCACCCACTGGCAACAAGCAATGGTCTATAACTCTAGTTCCAGAGGATCCAATACCCTCTTCTGACCTCCATGGGCACTGCATGCATGGGTGCACTTATATACATGCAGGCAAAACTCATTCACATCAAAGAGTAAACAGGGTTAATGAGCCTCCCAGAGGCAGGACTGCACTAGATCTGCACCCTGTACCCACAGCAACACAAGCTTCCCCAGGGTTCCATCACGTGCTTCCAAGGCACTTAGCAATAACAGCCTCTCACTATTTCCTTTCTCTGTGAGGATTTGAGCTCTTGCAAAACACAGAGTGACAGATAAAGATAAGACTTGTGTTTTTATCATGCTTTATTATGGTACTGTTTCAAGAAGACATGGAAATGTCCTTCCCATGTCTTTCAGGAAAATGAACACACCTTAGATATGTATCTCTTAAAACAGTTATCAGCTGGGGTTGCAGCTCAATGACAGGGCATGTGCCTAGCATGTGCTAGGACATATGTTCAATCCCCAGCACCACAGAAAACAAAGACAACTCCCCAAAAATCAACACTTAGATATTTATTTGGCATGAGGATAGAGGGTTATTAACTACTTAAATGCTTAATTTCAGAAGCTTTTTTCTTGAAACAGGGTCTCATATATCCCAGGCAGTAACTCCAGAAATTTAAAAAGATAATAGCTTAATGAAAAAATAAATAAATATGTCAATGATCTGAGTGTAAGCAACAGCAAGCAAGGGCTAGAAATTACCAGGAGAAAAAAGAAGAGAGATACTTTTTTCTTTTCTCCAGTGCTGGGAATTAAGCCCAAGGCTCTATGACTAAGTTATATCCCTAGCCTGTGAGCTTTTCAGACAAGATCTCACTATGTAGTTATGACTGGCCTTGAACTCACTAAGTAGTCCAGGTTGGCCTGGAACTTGTGATACTCCTGGTTTAGACTCCAAGTGCTGGGACTCTAGCCATGTCCCATCACTCCTGGCTAGAAAGATACTTTGGGGAAGGCTGAAGAATCTGTATGTATGTGGAATATTAAAGGAGAATTAAGGAATTAATTTAAATAACAAAAAAGTTCGGGTTTGTTTGCTGCTTTGCTGTACTACGAATCAGGCCTAGGGCCTTCTACATGCTAGGCAAGCAATCTACCACTGAGCCACATCCCCAACCCCAAAATGACTAATTTCAAATCTCTCATGTAAATATACTTAAGTCCAATTTATAATTATATATTTTCACAAAAAAATATATTTCCCACTAGGAGAACAAAGACATCTGAGGAAACACAAGAAGCTCTAACCGCCCATCCTAACTACGTAGTCCTTTACTAGCCTTCTCCTCTGTATATGACCACATCTTAACATCTCATTGAAATCTATGCCACAAAGATGGTTAATTCTACCCACAGCTGATGAATGCTTTCTGGTCCACTTCTCAGGGCAAATATTCTCAAAAATAATATGGACTGGAAGCTATACAAATATACGGATGGATAGACAGTAAAAGATATAGACGTCTAAGCAGCAAAGAGCTGTGCAGAACAGGAAAAACAGAAATCCACCTGGGTCAGAGGTACAGGGTGAATTTCTCTTGCTGAGGCTCAGGTTTCCCCCTTGATGGGTCTTTAGTGATCCACTTGAGTTCCAATGGAGAAGCATCTTTTTTCTTCGTTAACCAAACATGCCCAGGTACAGCTGCTTCTCTTTCCTATGGTACCTCCCAAGTTCCGACTGTGTCAAGTGGAGGTACCGCCGGACATTGGCATCTTTGGAGGTAACACAGAAGGCAATTACAGACAGATCACAACGACTCACTGGACAGGACAGCGTTGTTAGCACACTCCCCACTATTTCCTCTTTCCAAAGTTGGAATATATCACAATTTAATCTATTACTTAATAGTAATAGATTAATTAAAAAAATATTTTATTGGGCCAGGTGTGGTGGCGCATGCCTTTAATCCCAGCACTCTGGAGGCAGTAGCAAGTGGATCTCTGTGAGTTCAAGGCCAGCCTGGTCTACATAGCAAGTTTCAGGACAGCTGGAGCTATAGGGAGTCTGTCTCAAAAAAAGGCAAAAAAAGGCTGGAGATGGCTCAGTTTGAATCCTAGCACCCATAAGGCAGCTAACAACTGTCTGTAACTATAGTTCCAGGGGATCTGACAGCCTCTTCTGACCTCCTTGGGCACTGCACGACACAGGTGCACTTCCCTACATGAAGGCAATTCATGCATACACATAAAAAAAATAATAAATAAAAAAGAAAAAGGAATTTATTAAAATATTATTGTAGAGTTCTTAAAGATACTATTCAAATAATTAGCACCTTAGTTTTTAAAAAATTTTTAATTTAAAACTTTTTTTTGAAATGCAAGGTTCCATGTAGTAAAGGCTACTTTTCAAGTTGCTATCCAGTTTGGATGATCTTGAACATCTCTTCTGATCTTCCTGCCTCCACCTTCCAAGTGCTAGGAGATCACACGCATACATCACCATACTCAATTTTATTCATGGCTTATGATCCAACCCAGGACTTCAAGCACACTAGGCAAGGTCTCTACCAACTGAGCTACGTACTCAGCAAAGTTGGTTTTTTTTATATTTTATTATTTTTATTTTATGTGTATGAGTGTATTGCCTGCATGTATGTGAGTGTACCTGTGTTGTGCAATGCCTCAGAGGTCAGAAGAGGGCTTTGGAGTCCCCTGGAACTGGAGTTAAGGACAGTTCATAGCTACCATGTGGGTACTGGGACTCGAACCCAGGTCCTCTGCAAGAGCAGTCAGTGCTCTTAACTGCTGAGCCATTTGTCCAACCCCTTAAATTCTTTTTTATTTATTTATTTTTATTTTATGTGTATGAGTGTATGCCTGCGTATATCTAAGTGCACCGGTGTCGTGCAATGCCCAGGGAGATCAGAACAGGGCGTTGGATCCCCTGGAACTGGAGTTAACAGTTGTTAGCTGCCATATGGATGCTGGGAATAGAACCTGGTCCCCCTGCAAGAAAAGCCAGGGCTCTTAACCACCAAGCCATCTCTCCAGCCCCAATTCTTTCTTTTTTGAGATGTAGTCTCACTGAATTGCCTAGGTTGGTCTTGAATTTGTGGGCTCAAGTGACTTTCCTGCTTCAACTTCTCAGTGTAGGTGGGACCACAGATGTGTCCCAGCATGCCCAATTAGTGGTGCTCTATCTACCTTAAGGCAAGAAACCAGAAGAAATGGCTCACCTATCTTTATTAGTTCATAGTGGCTTTGACATTCGTTTAAGTTAGTGAAGGCAGGAGACTGGAGACTCTGTCTCTAGATTCTAGCTTCTTTAAGATGAAAAAGGGGAGCTGGACAGATAGCTCAACAGTTAAGAATCCTGGCTGCTCTTGTAAAGAATCTGAGTTCGATTCCCAGCACCTACATGGTGGCTAAGGACCAGATTGTAACTCCAGTTCCATGGGAATCTAACACCCTCTTCTGACCTCAGGCATTGCTCGACATGGGTGTACTTACATATATGCAGGCAGTATACTCATACACATAAAATTAAAAAAAAAAAAAAAAAAAAAAATAAAGAATGAAAAAAGGGAGCCAGGTATGGTGGTATACACCTTTAATCCCAGCACTCAGGAGGCAGAGGCAGGCAGATCTCTGCAAATTCATGGCCAGCCTGGTCTATATAGGCAGTTCCAGGCCACTCGGGGCTACATAGTGAGATCTTGCCTCAAGAAACAAAATAAAACTAAACTAAACAAACAAACAAACAAAACAAAAAAGCAAAAAGAAGAGGGGAGAAAATATTCAGGGTCAAACTAACCAGCACAGGACTGAACCAGCCACCTGCTTCATAACATCCTTTCTGAAAACGAAGTGCCAAATCTGAAATCTCTCAGTCAGCGGCCTCTTTTTCTAGGTCATACCTGGTGCTAGCTGAGCTAAAAGAGACAGTAATAGGTAAAACAAAGGCCAGCTCCTAGAGAGCAGGCCGAGTGAAGATTATCAAGTGTGTGCGTGTATGCATTGGGATGCATAGCCATACTCTTTTTTTTTTATCTTTTTGAGACAGGGTCTCCCTGTAGCCCCAGCTGTCCTGGAACTCACTATGTAGACCAGGCTGGCCTTGAACTCACAGAGATCACCTGCCTCTGCCTCCCAAGTGCTGGGATTAGAGGCGTGTGCCACCATGCCTGGCATACAGCCATGATCTTAAAAGTCCTTGAAAAAAATGTTTTAGGGGCTGGAGAGATGGCTCAGCAGTTTAGAGCACTGACTGCTCTTGCAGAGGACCTGGGTTCGATTCCCAGCATCCACATGGCAGCTACGAACCATCCTTAACTCCAGTTCTAGGGGAATCCGAAGCCCTCTTCTGACCTCCTTGGCACTGCATGACACAGGTGCACTCACATACATGTAGGCAATATACTCATACACATAAAATAAAAATAAAATATTTTAAAAAATATATTAGAGCTAGGTGTGATGACATACAATTATAACCCCAGCACTTGGGAAATGGGTCAGGACTTAAAGGCTAGCTGTGCTACAAACTGAGTTTGAGGCCAACCTGAGCTATATTAGACACTGTCTCCAAAAACTAAAAAATAAAATTCTATCATGAGCTGGGCATGGTGGCACACATGTATAATTCAAGTACTCAGGAGAATCATAAGTTCAAAGGCCAGCCTGGGCAATAAATAGGGTCCCAGGCTGATTTGGGCTTAATGGTAAGATTCTGTCTCAAAACCCCAAAATAGGCTAGGCATGGTGGCACATACTTTTAATCCTAGCACTTAGGAGGTGGAAGCAGAGGCATGAGGTAAGTTCCAGGTTAGCCAGAGAAACCCTGCCTCAAACACACACACACACACACACACACACACACACACACACACACACACACATAAAAAAACAAAACAAAAACCCCAAAGAAAATTTTATAAGGCCATGGGTGTAGAGTGTGCGTGCATGCGTGCGTGTGTGCAATGTGCAATGTCCTGAGTAGGTTTTCTGGCAACAAAACAGAAAGAGGGTGGTAGTACTTTACATACACATCAAAAACAGGCTGGGAACTCATGGTGCTAGAGCATTTGCATGGTGTGCATGAGGCTATGAATTAGAACACACAGCAAAACAAACCAACCAAAAAGCCAGGCGCGCACGCACACACCCCCCCCCACCCCCCCCACCCCACACACCCTGCATGTATACAGAGCTGGCAGA